AATATTTTGGCATACGATTCGTGTTTCTTGCGTTATTCATTAATTCAAGCATGCCTTCGCATTGTGCTGTTCGTTCCAATGCACAAAAAATGCAGCAAGAAACTAGGGAATATGATTTTTCAGGTAAATAGAAATCTCACATAGTTATCATTATGAAATGTTGTCATTCCTTATTAAAATTCCTTCTGCCCTCTGCCACTTCTAAAATACAAGCTAATACTGCTAATAGATTGAAAATGTCTACAACACACACGATCATCAGCATGTCAGATCAGTCCCCCCGATTGATTGCATGAATCCAATCTTCCTGCATTATTCTATGAATTTCAGGTATATTTCTATTAGCTCTTATTGCAGAAGGAATTCCGATGAGATATCAGAGAAATAACAAAATTTCAAAAATGAAAACTATATGTGAGTGACTATAGTAGGAACTTACTTTTAGATCATAATGTACCATCCGGATTCCTTCATCTTCTGCTGCAGTTTTTGTGCATTTTACAACAGCACAATGTGATGGCATGAGCGAATTGATGAATAGCGGAAAAATACGATTCATATGCCAAAATAATTGTGGAAAACTATTTCGATCACTTGTAAACAAATAAAGGAAAAGTGACGTTGTGTTTCAATGTTTTGCCTCCAGCGTTGGTCATCTGACAGTTCTTGCACGCAACCCATAGGTCGCGTGCACGAAGACCGACCCTGGAGGCAAAATGTTGAAACACAACCTCATTCTTCTGTGAATTATTGAAACACAACCTCACTTTTTTATTTGGTTACAGAGGAATCAAAAGGTTGAAATAGTTTTTCACAATATTTTGGCATACGAATCGTGTTTCTTGCGTTATTCATTAATTCAAGCATGCCTTCGCATTATTGTGCTGTTGTACAATGCACAAAAAATGCAGCAAGACAGTAGGGAATATGATTTTTCAGGTAAATAGTAATCTCACATAGTTAGCATTATGAAATGTTGTCATTCCTTATTAAAATTCCTTCTGCCTTCTGCCACTTCTGCAATACAAGCTTATGCTGCTAATAGATTGAAAATGTCTACAACACACACGATCGTCAGCATGTCAGACCAGTCCCCCCGATTGATTGCATGAATCCAATCTTCCTGCATTATTCTATGAATTTCAGGTATATTTCTATTAGCTCTTATTGCAGAAGGAATTCCGATGAGATATCAGAGAAATAACAAAATTTCAAAAATGAAAACTATATGTGAGTGACTATAGTAGGAACTTACTTTTAGATCATAATGTACCATCCGGATTCCTTCATCTTCTGCTGCAGTTTTTGTGCATTTTACAACAGCACAATGTGATGGCATGAGCGAATTGATGAATAGCGGAAAAATACGATTCATATGCCAAAATAATTGTGGAAAACTATTTCGATCACTTGTAAACAAATAAAGGAAAAGTGACGTTGTGTTTCAATGTTTTGCCTCCAGCGTTGGTCATCTGACAGTTCTTGCACGCAACCCATTATAGAAAATAAAAAATGACAAAAGTTCAGCTGTGTTGGAACTCTTATCAAACTAATACCAGTGACTCTAGAGTGCCATAGTGGTTGAACCCTGTAATTTTGAATCATTTTCAGCTGATGCATGATAGAAAATGGTGAAAGTGAACTATCAAACACATCTCCTGATATAATAGAAAGTGCAATAGTTGTAAATTAGAATCTCTTACCGTAGAAATCAAGTTAGAAATATGGATTACAAAAAATTGGTACCACTCCAAAAAGGTGACTAAGTATATTTAGAAAACGTTTTACTGGCTAATTTTGATGAAAAATCAATGACTTTGAAGTCATCAACTCTTTAGTCTATATATTCGGTGAATGTTGAAAATAATATCGAAATCAAAAAGTATACCAAGCTCATCGCATTTCTCAAGACACAATCTGTTGGAAATTAAGCGGAGAAATCCAAAACATTTTCCGCTGAAGATATCAACAAATTTCTACAAGAAGCTCCCGATGAAGAATATCTGTTGAAAAAGGTATATAATACTTAATATTTAAACTATTCTTCATCATCAGAAAAAGAGTGTCAAAAGTTTTTTTTTTGTTTTCGTTGGACATATAGGATAATGGATAAGAACTATTTCCAGCGCTAATACTTTTAGGGCAGCTATTCACTAATCATTTTTCAATAGGTAATCCTAATAATTATGGGTATTGCTGGTGCAGGCAGGCGCGATGAATTGGTGAAAATGCAGATCAGTGACATAGAAGATAAAAATTCTATTTCAATAGTACGAATTCCGGATTCAAAATCAAGAATAAGCCGTGTTTTCACAATCATTAGTAATAATGAAGAAAATTCAATTGATTATCTATCAACTTGTAAAATATTATTCGCAATCAGACTACAGTGTCAGAATAATGATACTTCGCAACATTCATTTCTACGTTTTACAAAGGGTAGATGTGTTAAACAAATTGTAAGTATGAATATAATCGGAAAAGTAGAGCAATGTCTGCTGACGTCACAACTTGGCGCACCCTCATTTTCATCAGCTGTCCGGGGAACAATCAAAGCTGTGTGTGAATCTTGATTTCTCAATTTCTGACCCATTGGTGATTTTGTTGAACTTGAATATATTATACAAGAAGAATGTATACATTTTCTTCCCAAATGAGTATCTATTGAGGTTTATTACGAAGTATATTAGGTATATTAGAGCTGAACTCAGGTAAATCCAGTAAGTTAAAATTGACAAATAAACCAATTTGAACTCTTCTTTGGACTCATTCACTTCTCATAATAAATACTCCAGGTATTGTATTTCAGTGGTAATGTGCAAGAAAGTTACATGTACCCTTATGGAAAATGTGTATGCTTGTCCCACCATCAGGTGTTCAATGGCCGACAATTTTACGTCATATGACGTCACTGACAATGCGCTATTTCCAGTGACATTGCTGGATATTCAAAATAGGGAAGACCACTGAGGGAAAAAATCCGTGCAAACCTCTTTCAATCGACGAATCATGATTTACATTTTATGTACAATCAATATTATGAGTTGAAGTTGAAGGGAATCGAATCTATATCGTTTTGAAATCAGCATATTTCATTCGATATTTCAAACAGCCAAATATGATGGTGGAGTCGTGACGTATTAGTCCCGAACTGTAGCTATCTCTCTCTGATACCTCGTCATTCTGCAGTGTTGCAGTGTAATTGGTCAGTTCAAGGACAATAGGCGTGTTGGGACTAAGACGTCGCACCAGTCACACCAATGAATTGACGAAATTTCAAATGGCGCAGGAATTGTGTGTTTTGAATTTATTTTTTCCATCGTCTTAGCATGAATGAAAAAATTCAAAATTAATTCACTGGTAGTTTTTCAGTATAGAGTTCACGATAATGTCTTTTAAAAAAATCAGTGGTCTTTCCCATATACTATAGACACTGGACACTGTTTTCCGCGAACATCTGCAACTTTATGAGTGAACGGTGGAGGTGACTCAATACAATTGTAGAAACATGGTGGATGGAAAAGAAGCAATGTCGCAAAAGGGTATATTGATGGATCAATCAAAAATAAGATTGAGAGTACCAAAAAAATATTTTCAAGGCCATCCTCAGGAGAGTTTACTCGTATATTGCTCGCACATTATTTCCTTCGGCGCATCGCGCCTCTGGATTCACTCCTCACCTTAGGTGAATTATATACTATTATTCACTAAGGTAGTGAAGAATATTATTTTTACCCACGGACCAAGATTATATCCCGAGACTAGGCTGTTCTGGTTCCCACGAAAAGGGATATCCTGTAATGTTCAGAGAACATCGTGAGAACAAAAGGAAATAAGGTTGGAAAAAATTCATTTATTCTTCACTACCTTGGTGTATAAAGAACCATTATGTACGACCGTTTCAGACATTTATTAACTGTTAATATGGAATTTATTGATGATTTTGAATGCATTTGGTCAAATTATAGGTACTTATATGTCACTGGCATGGAATGGATGAAAGAATGGTAGTCTAATCAAATTTACTGGAAAAACAGTAAAATTACTTCACCGCCCGAAAACCTACTTCACCACCCGCAGGACTACTATAATTGCCCGCTGTTACTTTTCGCCTGCGAATCCTGGCGATAAAGTTTCATTTCACGCCTGGTCGTGCATGGTAGTTATTTATTTATCAAGGACGTAAAGTAGACGTTTACGGCCTGTGGCATGAATTACACGCTGAAGGCCATAAAAGCATTTTATGCACGTGATACATACAAGATTGTATGTACTAGTGGTTTATTTTCTGACTCAAAAGATAAGACTATACATTCCGATAAACTACTGTGCCCCCGAATTCAATTTGTTACGTATAAATTCAGTAATCAAGAGAAGCGTTATATTCATGGATGATATACGTATTGAAATTATCGTACAAATATTTCTATTATCGTAATAGTTGAACTCTTCGATCTCTAGAAGAGATTCATTCTTCAGAATTTTACAATATGCATACCCAGTATATATACCTACCTAATTTTGACGTTGACAAGCAAGCTGATGGTTGTTGTCTATAGCAATACATTCAATAAACAAGCTGAATTGTCATGAGTTTTTCATGAATTGATAAGTGGATATAATGTGCCCACGGGCGGTAAAGTGCAACTTAACGCCCGCAAAACCAGGCGGTAAAGTGCACTTTACGGTCCGCTAGTGCATAAAAGGTTCTTATTTTCCATGTTGGTGATTTTGACAGATGTTGAATGTCACTAATTTCAGTGACAAATTGACGTTCTTGGCTACTGGGTGATTGAAAGTAGTTTCCTGAGGAATAATGAATTCGCGAACCAAATTTTCTTCATCACAGAAGGGATATGGTCGCTGAAAAATTGTGTAACCAATTCTTATAGCGATTAGGCGATCAATGATCTTGGATATTGACGTGCTCGCTATTATAGTCTCCCTCATCAATACACCAGATGTAATGTAAATAGGTATATAGGTACTCATTTACTCACCAGCTCTTGAAAAACGGATTAACCAAGTTCAACCAACAACTCAATAATTTCATTCAGATCTAAGATGATATTCCAATTCAGTTCAGTACATTATCATTGTGCACGTCTGGGGTCATCTGATAAAATAATTATACTGAGTGTTCTGAATGAGGTAATATCTTCTCTATCATCGGTAACTGAATCTTCGTTATTTTCAAGAGAAATATCATCTTCAAAGTTGGAGCATTAATGAAGAAACCATCAGTAAATGAGGATGGAAAGAAACGAGCATCAGCTTTTTCTACAGATCACCGTTTTGAAGGAATCTACTCCAATTTATTTTTAAATCATCTTTAATTCAATTATAATGAAAATTAGTTTGAAAATCTGGAAAAGTAAGTTTTGATAACCAAACTAAGAACAAGTAGAAAATTGAATAATACAAGTGTGTTGGTAAATACACAACATAGAAAATATTATTTATCAACGCACTTTTATTATTTCATTTTCCACTTATTTTTAGTTTGGTTCTCCAAACAAATATTTATTTGCTATTTCGGCTACCTACAAAAGCGTGTTTTCCATTTTTTCTTATATTTTTTGTAAATAGCGCCCATCAGAGAGGAGGGAAATTGCGCGCCTGTTGCCTTCTTTGAATCTTGTAAGCGTTTATCAGGGTCATTCTCCAGGAACTCTATCTCATACTAGTACTTGGTGCAAGACACTACCGTCTTTCAAGATGTATTTTTTTATATTATCATAGGAATAAACTTGGTGCAAGACAATGCCTGATCAGAATAATAGAACAAAATTGTCGAATTATGCTATTGTCATCGGTCCTTGATAATTGTGCGAAGTTTTAATTCAATTAGACGTTTTCAAGTTAATCAAAATCACCCGTCTCTCTGGATGTAACTATAATCATACGAATACTTGGTGTAAGACACTGCCGTGTCTCTAGATATAAGAAAAAGCATTGTAAAGTTATTCGAAGAAAAAACGAACATTTGAATAATTGGTGAAGGAACATTTGGAAATTTTTATGGAGGAACATCACTCACCATTTTATTCCAGAAAAAAATCACTCATTCTGAAGATCCTGATCAGGAACATGGAACAAAACTATTTAATTTTGCTATTGTCATCGGTTGATAAGTGTGTGAAGTTTCAATTCAATTCGACGTTTTGAAATCGGTCAAAATCACGTTCGTATATTTCATGTTACATACAAACATAGAAACCTATATAACGACAAACCAACAAACCTACAAACCAACTAACCAACAAACATACAATCTACAAACCTACAAACTTATTCACACCCAAACTTAAAAACCTACAAACATACGAACCTATTAACTCCCAAACCTACAAACTCACAAACCTACAAACTCAGAAACCTACGAACCTATTAACCCTCGAACCCACAAATCTACAAACCTATTAACCCTCGAACCTACAAACCTACAAACCTACAAACCTACAAACCCATAAACCCAAAAACCTTCTGACCCCCAAACCTATTAGCCCCCAAACCTATAAACCTACCAACCAACAAACCTATTAACCCACAAACCTACAAACCAATCAACTCCTGAACCAACAAACATACAATCCAGTTAACCCCAAAACCAACAAACCTATTAATCCCCAAATCTACAATACAAGAAACCTACAAATCAATTAATCCCCAAACCTACAAACTCACAAACCTACAAACCTATTCAACCCCCAAACCTACAAACCCACAGACCTACAAACCTATTAAGCCCCATACCTTCACACCCTCAAACATGAAAACCTACTAACCTCCAGAAATTCAAGAAGAACACCAATTCCCATTTCATTTCCCTTGGTTCTCACGACGTTCTCTGAACATTACAGGATATCCCTTTTCGTGGGAACCAGAATAAAAAAAAACAACGAACCAATTAACACTCAAACCTATCATTCTATAAACCTATTAACGCCGAAACCTACAAATCTACAAACCAATGAACCACCAAACCTATAAGCCTACAACCTACAAACCTATTAACCCCCAAACCTACGAACCCACAAACCTAAAAACTTATTAACCCTAAACCAACAAACCTATTAACATTCAAACCTACAAACCCACAAACCTATTAACCTCCAAACCTACGAACCTACAAACCTATTGACCCCCAAACCTAAAAAACCTACGAACCTACAAACATACATTCCAAGCTAATAGAAGCGTGTTAATAAAAAATGCAATAGATCGGCTTGTGGATACAGGAAAGTACAGATACAGAAAATTCTTCTCCATTTGATGTTGTGGTAATCAGTGGTTTCCAATGTGAAAATGGCCGAGGTTTTTTCAGCGAGACACATGAAGATGAATATATTTCTCCTACTATCATGAAGGCAATAATCGTTTTGAATTTTGAGGACTTTGGCATCGTCTGAATAGGTATTGAAACCACCAACGGTGAAGATTTGAACAAACCTGTTTTTCATCTGGAATTTGACTTGTGTTGTTTAAACAGTTTACGCTTCATTTAAAAAACATCTCTTGTGTCATATAAGTATGCTCACTTCACCGCAACGTGGTGTGAGGGCAAGTAACCTACATATTTTGATATACAGGTTGCTTTCTTACTAATTAGAAATATTCCAACTATATGCTCGAAATATGAATATTCAATCCAAATCACCTAGATAAAATGTGTATCGTACCCTCTCTTTATATAGTAGAGTTTAAACGGGATCCTATCGTGCTATCCCGTGGGCACTTTGTTGCTAAAATGTAAAACCCATTTTTTATCATTCCTAAGACCTTTGCAATGCAAAATCACTTGGTCGTCCAAAAATCGTAGTTGGAGGGGAGTGGGGGGAGCCTTTTTAAAAAAAAAAGCCAACTTTTTTTTTCATCGGTTTTCAGATCTAAGATGTGAGATAATTCATTCCTCAAATTTGCATACCCATCCGGATATCAGAAATATTTTTTTTAATTTATAAAAATACGTCGCAGCATTGTTGTATATGGAGAGCCTTCACACAAAACCGCTTGCCCTGGACACCCATATTTTTAAAATCAGTTAACTCGCTCTACCTCGAAAAGTATTGGGTCTAGCAAAAAAAGACTTTCTATAAACGTTATAGACCAAACATCAGAGAACATGTTGGTTTTTTTAGAATTTTGATTGGATAATTGGTTCACGAGGAAATTGAATAAATCGAACGGCATGTCGCGACGAACGGCGGCTAGCGCAGAGATACGGGGAAGGGCGAGATTGCTATGCCTGTGTCAACCGAAAATCCACTCTACTGAGGGCGATGTTGATACGGTCGATTTTACCGTGAATTCACTGTTTTGTTGTAAATTCGAATGCATTGTTCTGGTAGCGCTGATTCTACTGAGATTACTAGTGATGAGTGATAAAGTTCTTGTCTATAAATCATATTATTAAAAGCGAATAATAACTTATTGCTAAGTTAACAATATTTAGAACTTACTTAGTGAGTATTAGGTACAGTTAGTATTTTTTTGTATCCTCTAGAAATGGATTTAACGATCAGCAGCAGCTCTGACAGTGAACTAGAGTCGAAAATCAAATTAAGACTTGCTTCTTTTCGTAAAACTGTCAATGGACAAGACGTTTTTATTCAAAATGTGTGTCTTATTTGTTTGGAAGGAGGAACGCTGGTTATCTCTCATGAAAAATCAAAAAAAAATTTCATTGAATTCACGAAAGAACGTATGACAAATTGTCATGATGACAAATATATGCGGCATATATTCTCAAAGTTTATGAATTAGAAAATCAAAGTTTTTTAAAATGGCACAAAAACCGTTATAAATCGTATACGAGCTCAAAGAACATTGCCTCGTACAAGTCAAAAAATAACAAACTGACAGCTGATTATCCAGCAGATTTTTGTAGCAGATATTTTTCAAAACGTCCCTTGCGGATACCTTTTGATTCACAAAACGGTTTGATTGCTACTAGAGCAGGGTTGGAATAAGTCATGACTTTTATGAAAAAGTCATCAAAGTCCTACTTTTTGAAATAAGTCAGACTTTTTTGAATTGATTGATTTGAAAAAAAAAACAAACAAATTTCATTTACCCAAAGCGAAATTGGAAAAAAGAAACAAAAAAGCTATGTTTTTATTCTCTTCAGAAATCTTGCAGAATAACGTCATAATATAACTTTTTTCGAAACAAAATTAAAAGTGATGATAGAATACAAAATAATAGATACATATAGATCCAGTATCATCCATAAAGTTCGTAACACATGGAGAAAAAGTTTATTAGTAGAATATCGAAACATTTTTTCTTGGAGATCTATTATGCATGTCTGATGACTACTTAAAAGTCAATTTTGACACATGTCACTTGATCAGTGGTATGGCGGTAAATTCAAAAAATTACGATGGCAAAAAGTGGGGTTGGATGGGAAGATGCCAGATGGAGTTATTTAAAAAAAATAAAAATAGCTATTTTCAGTTTTCTCAAATAATGGCTGGAAACTCCATATGTGAGCATGAAATTGAATTCTATTCAACTTGTACATCATCAACATCACTACTGTCAGAAAAAAAAATATGTTACAAAATTGAAGAATATTCGAAAAAAGATAGCTATTTCCAATTCTCCTCCAAGAATTGCTCGAAACTGAATGTGGAATAGCAACTTAATGAGAAATGTTTATGGATATTTTGTTATCTAACCCCACTTTTCGTCGCTTCATAGTATTATTTTTATTTATCACCATACCAGTGATCACGTGACATGTGTCAAAATCGATTTTCAAGTTATCGGATATGCATAATGGATCGCCGAGAGAAAAAAATTCGATGATGTGATAATAAAACTGTTCTCATATGTTATGGACTTTATGGATGGTATATATCTGTTAGTAAAAATCTCTGTCATGCTTGAAATAACAAAGTCTTGTCAAAATGCGATCGAACTTTTCAGTTTAAACTAGTTAAAATCAAAGGTATAATAGTGCAATTTGTCTCATTTTTAAAAATTTTAATGAATTCATTACTTTTTCGAAAAAAGTCAATGGAATTAATTCACGAATTAAATCACTGATTTAATTCATATGAATTAATTCATGCCAACCCTGTACTAGAGTCCCTCATTCTGCAAATGCACCACGTGATATTACGATATCTCATGTTATTATTAAGTATTTCGCCCTTCTCTATGATGATCAGTTTATTTTCCTCAGGTTGTACTTTTCTTTTTGATTTGTCAAAGTAATTTCTTTAAGGGAATGAAAGTCATTAGGTATTGCAAGCTCCTGATTATACGGCAGTTTTCGCAGAAAACACAGGGTTACTTCGTGATATTGTTATTTTTTCTTGCATATTACGAGTCATAACTTGCCTTAGTTTTTGATTCTGTGATTGCTCCTGACAAAATACGCACTTTTGTGAATCAAAAGGTGTCCGCAAGGGACGTTTTTGAAAAATATCTGCTCTACAAAAATCTGCTGGAGAATCAGCTGTCAGTTTGTTATTTTTTGACTTGTACGAGGCAATGTTCTTTGAGCTCGTATACGATTTATAACGGTTTTTGTGCCATTTTAAAAAACTTTGATTTTCTAATTCATCAAACTTTGAGAATATATGCCGCATATATTTGTCATCATGACAATTTGTCATACGTTCTTTCGTGAATTCAATGAATTTTTTTTTTGATTTTTCATGAGAGATAACCAGCTTTCCTCCTTCCAAACAAATAAGACACACATTTTGAATAAAAACGTCTTGTCCATTGACAGTTTTACGAAAAGAAGCAAGTCTTAATTTGATTTTCGACTCTAGTTCACTGTCAGAGCTGCTGCTGATCGTTAAATCCATTTCTAGAGGATACAAAAAAATACTAACTGTACCTAATACTCACTAAGTAAGTTCTAAATATTGTTAACTTAGCAATAAGTTATTATTCGCTTTTAATAATATGATTTATAGACAAGAACTTGATCACTCATCACTAGTAATCTCAGTAGAATCAGCGCTACCAGAACAATGCATTCGAATTTACAACAAAACAGTGAATTCACGGTAAAATCGACCGTATCAACATCGCCCTCAGTAGAGTGGATTTTCGGTTGACACAGGCATAGCAATCTCGCCCTTCCCCGTATCTCTGCGCTAGCCGCCGTTCGTCGCGACATGCCGTTCGATTTATTCAATTTCCTCGTGAACCAATTATCCAATCAAAATTCTAAAAAAACCAACATGTTCTCTGATGTTTGGTCTATAACGTTTATAGAAAGTCTTTTTTTGCTAGACCCAATACTTTTCGAGGTAGAGCGAGTTAAATGATTTTAAAAATATGGGTGTCCAGGGCAAGCGGTTTTGTGTGAAGGCTCTCCATATACAACAATGCTGCGACGTATTTTTATAAATTAAAAAAAAATATTTCTGATATCCGGATGGGTATGCAAATTCGAGGAATGAATTATCTCACATCTTAGATCTGAAAACCGATGAAAAAAAAATTGTCTTTTTTTTAAAAAAAGGCTCCCCCCACTCCCCTCCAACTACGATTTTTGGACGACCAAGTGATTTTGCATTGCAAAGGTCTTAGGAATGATAAAAAATGGGTTTTACATTTTAGCAACAAAGTGCCCACGAAAATCTATTCTAGAAGCCTTTTGCCAGTCTATTTACTACGAAGGCCTGGAAGGGACACATAAAATAAAAAAAAATAAAAACTCTTCAAAATTCCGACTTATAACTCGGAATTTTAAAATTCCGAGTTATAACTCGGAATTTTACATCAAAATTCCGACTTATATCTCGGAATTTTGAAATTTCGTGTTATAACTCGGAATTTTGGATGTAAAATTCCGAGTTATAACTCGGAATTTTAAAATTCCGAGTTATAACTCAGAATATTGGATGTAAAATTCCGACTTATATCTCGGAATTTTAAAATTCCGAGTTATAATTCGGAATTTTAAAATTCCGAGATATAAGTCGGAATTTTAAAATTCCGAGTTATAACTCGGAATTTTACATCAAAATTCCGACTTATATCTCGGAATTTTAAATTTCCGAGTTATAACTCGGAATATTGGATTTAAAATTCCGAGTTATAACTCGGAATTTTAAAATTCCGAGATATAAGTCGGAATTTTAAATCCAATATTCCGAGTTATAACACGGAATTTTAAAATTCCGAGTTATAAGTCGGAATTTTGATGTAAAATTCCGAGTTATAACTCGGAATTTTAAAATTCCGAGTTATAACTCAGAATTTTGAAGAGTTTTTATTTTTTTTATTTTATGTGTCCCTTCCAGGGCTTCGTAATTTACTCTACTAATAGGGATAAAGTCATTATTTTGCGAGATATTTCAAGGTGATCATGAAGCTGCACAATTATTTTGATTCCGATAAGTATTGATGTCGATGTTTTGGATCTCTGAATTGCATTCATTTCGCAAATTGAAACCGTTTCAAAAATATATATATCAATATGAGGATTCGAATGTTTTTGAATATTAGCAATGTATAAGTAATTTATAATAAGTCTCATATAAAAGAAAGACCCTGTAACTCTGATAGTAGACACATTTCATCTTACTGATTTGGGTACAATTTCCATATTTTGAGCTCAGGATTTTACAGCTGGACTATTTCCAATTTGTAATGAAACACCTGTTCATTTAATTCGTTATTCTATCCAAAGATCTAAGAGAATAAATAATGAAGAGATTCACCATAACAGTAATCCATCGAAATGTCAGAACTATTATTGGTGATACAAAAACTCTGAATGAAGCAGTTTTCGGCATTTCGAAGTTTGACAGATGAGAACCGAAACACCCAGTACAGACTATCAATTCAGAACAGGCAATAACACCCTGTACATAGTGAAACGCTTATTGAAATGTAACAAACTGAGTGCATCATATTGAGCCACTTAAGTAGATGAGTCATTATTCATTGTTAATAATGCATTATAAGATCAACGCGTGTTTCTGCTTTAATTGATCTGAGCCTCTCCAGCAACCATGTGATATGTGGAAGAAATTAGAAGTGCCAAGTGTTGGGTTTTCAGCAATTCGCATTCCAAGCTGAAGATGGTATTCTAAAAGTAAGTTGTTTCAATACACCATAGTGATTTTCTCATGGATTTCTATGGAGTACAAACCGCAATCATGCATTTGTTGCTCTGATGTATCAATTAGTCGACAATCGATATCACCGAGTTGTGAGTTGTCTATGTTATATCACAAAATATGAGTTTGTTATACTCGAAGCAACCTCCTGACAACCTTTGTACAATGAACTGTCGTGATGTCGCGAATACGCATAGGCGCATGTGAACATATTGAATATCAGCAGGAATTCTCTAAATGCAAGTAAAATTAGATTGACATATTCCTGAGACAATTTGAAAAAATATATCACACGAAATTTGGTACCTTGCTTCATTTTGAGGTGAGCAATAATTGTTTCATATATTAACTTTTATGTTTAGCTGTCATTCTTTATTCAAAATTGACCCGACTTTTCTGGGAGTTATCTTATGGTACTTTCCATGAGAAACAACATTTAACTACATCTTTTTCATGCTGAAGAAGGTGAACTTTCCCAACAACACAGGAGGTGATCGATTTCGAGATGTTATTACTATTTTCTATATCGATGCACGTCACTTATCTCCTAAGTTGAAGCTGGCTGAGAATATTACAAAAACTTAGTTCGTATAGTAGGTTTTTTCAAAATTAACAACTTTTTTTCCATAAAATATTGCATACGCTGTTCTTGTTATGTTCTCAACAACTTTACTTAGCGTAGGAGCTAAGTATAGTCGAGTAGAGAAATGAGTTTTTTTCATGAAACGAGCCAAAAGTTTACTGTCGAAATATTTGGGCAGTTCTGAATAAGTAACAGCGTACACAGGGCTCTCTAATCTTCGAAAAATATATTTTGAACGAAATGAAAAAAATCAATTTCAACACCTTGTATCAACGAAGCGAAGGATTTTGAGACACAACTTCATTCGAACTTGTTTTCTTATAATTGTCTCAGAAATACGGCATTCAAATATTTCAATATGAGTACTTATATGTTACCTTCACCCTGTATTATATTCAGGAAGAAACAACAATCAGTTAAATGATTAATTTCCAACAACGATCAATTAAACTGTTATTTTTGTACATGCGCAATATATGCCACTTATAATCCGCTAAGTATAGACAAAAACAATCAAACTTGAACGATGGAAACTTGTGATTTTTTTAGACCTCTAATCGCAGATTCGTGATAGAGTCTCAATACAGAATTTCTTTCCACGCCCTGTATGATGAATGTCAACTTATCATACACCCAAAAGCAATGCAATTCTCATGAAAATAATTGTTATCAAGGTTACGATGGTGTCAAGGTTGATTATCAAAAACATATTCATATTAGGAATAACCACCTATATTGTTCTCAAATCAAATCATTGATTGAACAGTCACATCTAAGAAGTGATATCGTCGTGTCTATACCATACCTCACACAGGCGGAAATAATAAGTATACCTATATGCCATTTTGTTTGAAAAGCTCAACATGCTCAAAAAATCATGAAGATCACGTAATCTGACGTCACTTATTCGATTTTTATGATCGACTCAAACATGATAAATCCGTTGTTCGAGGATGATATCCGAATTCGCGTCTGTTACCTCGACAAAGTTAACAATTTTAGTCCTTCTTACCATATTTATTCATTATTGTTGCATTTTTCGCCATTTCCTTTGTTTTTATTTGTCATCCATCTTGATCAGTTTGATTTGATTTTTCTGCACCCTGAAAATTCGCGGGGAAAATAAATCCTCCAAGTTGCTATAGATCACATATGGCAACTTCCTTTAGTCAGCTTTAGTCAAACGAACACCCAATCATCAATTGCTCGGAACAAACGAACATCAAATATTGCTCATATAACTTTTCACCAGGCCTTGATGTCTATGGTGTATGATACGTCTTTAGAATGGTGAAGTTGGAAAAATACTGACAAATGATTCGATACCAAGGTCATCGGAGAATATTCGGAAAAAGTTGATTCAGTGGAATTATATCAAGAAAATAAATTTTTTTGGCAACCGGGAAGTATACCTACTAATTCTCGGACGCTTTTCATTTGAGCAAGTAGCATTTTTACGGCCTAGTCTGGGAAGTACGTACTTCTCGGACCAGGCCGGGAAGAATCACATATCGTTGTTGTCATTATAATTATGGAAATCTTGGTTGGTGAGGTGTTGATAAATGTTGATAAATGCAACATACCATAGCAGCGAAATAACAAATGACAGCTATTTCACATGAAATTAGTTGTCCTTTCGATTTTTGGAAGTTTGCATGGTTTTTGACCGTTAGGCGAGTGGACTAATTTCCTATCCCTTTTTTTAATAGACTCTCCACTCAAATTCATTTCAATTTTTCATTTCTTTTAGAATTTGTCTGTCGATTTTGAGGTGTCAAAATCATCAATAATGCCACGGTAATTTCCAAACGGCTACGAATTCACCGCGAGTGAAAACTGACGCCATGATATAGTAGGTAGGGGCAGACTATAGCACAGTTGCTATATGTTGAAATACGATCGGCAACTTCAGAAATATAATTTATTCAATAATCCATCAAGTTTCAATTATGTATTGGTAATATTCCTAATTAGCATTGGAAAATCAATTGTCTCATGATGTTTCCTCATGTGTCGTGGCTTATTGGTTATAAGACATTTTGTGTAAATAATAATCATATCAATTCACACTAAAGGACATTCGAACCGATAAACGCTCAGGTAAACGTGACAACACCGGCGCACCAATTGTGGGCGTGGTCTCGTCAGTTCTCAGCATCCAGCACAATGTTGCCAAGTCTCCAACATTTACATGATATCTTGTTATGGAGTATAAAAACTATTTGGACATGCTGATTGCTCGAACAAGTCAAGAATTCAACTATAATATCATGGGTTCTTCCTATTATGTTATATTTAACGACAGGACTCTAACAACTTTTTGATAACATGATTATAATCGGTGACTTGACAACCTAGCTTCATGAGTTGGAATGAAAAATGATCTGACCAATAACGAAACAGCATAATAACTGACGTCACCATTTATTCGACGTATCGCCAAATGGCGTCCATGACGGTCCGTTTGAAAAAAGCTCTGAATTTCAACAATTTGGAACAACGCATAGACTCATTATTTAGATGAAAAAGCGTGAGGAGTGTTGCAAAAATTGATTTAGGTCCCTAACGATACATTGGAGTAATTGAATGCCAATAATTCATAATTAGTCCACTCTCCCATTTTCAAAATGTGTCTTACGAAATGTTCAATGTAGCATTTGCTGCTACAGCACAATTAATAGCCTGTAAAATCATGAGTTCAAGTATATGAAAACGATGATTTGTTCATGAAATGGATGGAATGCAACTATTACAGAGGATGTAATTTTGACTTCTCTGACGCCAAAATCTGAAACTGACAAATCCTTTACCCTGTGGAGCCTGTACTCTATGTTGAAAACAGTAATTTCAGTGGGGGAAAATGTAAACTTATAGCCACTTCCTCCATTGATTTGTTATTCTACACGGTTGCCGATAGAATAGTGCTCGTAACACGTTCGAAAACAGTTTTTTTCGTCGACCTCTATACAAAGAATCACATTTTACGTTGAAATTTCCTAACAAAAAACAAACTATTTTCGAAGACAAGTACTTTTCGTCCGCAAACACATTTTTCGTCTGCTGCAGAGTTGCCAGTTCTACTGAATTTTCAGTAGATCGCCTGTTTTGCATATCGATCTACTGATCTACTGAAACATTTCATAAAAAAAATTGTAAAATTGTTCTATTCGTCATTCGGTTGCCGTCCAATGAGCAACCATCAGAAGTCTTCGAGAGTCTTGTGCGAGCAAGGAATGACGGGGGCCTTACCTTTCAACGTGTGATCCCAAACACTTTCTTGGGCCATCAGAAACATTTCTGCAGCCGCTGGGAATCAAACCCACGACCGGCAAGCGGATGCGGATCAAAATATTGACACTCTCTCCGCACGGCTACCTGGCCCATAACCTACTGAAAAATATGTTGATACTAATTCGTTATTATAATCACCTATACAATATTAATATCGATTTTCAGTTAATCACATACACTTATAAATTGCATGATATCTCAGCACGCTCTGTTGAAATTAATTTCAAAAATAAGTATAAAAGTTACGTATTGGTACTAATGACATATGTATAGACCAAAAAAGGACAAGACTTCATCTGATTCTGATCAGATTCAAATTTTCATATACTTCTATTATAACAGTTTTACTCTTACGTTTATTTTTCAATTTGTTCAGTATTTTTGTTGTTTATTTTTACTATTCGTTCATGTCGTTTATATATTCAAATCTCATAAGTATGCCTGTATGAAACTGTATATTGTGATATTTGTCAGTATTTTCGAATTGAGAATTAGGGAATGGGTAACTATCCTGTACTAAAAATACATAATGTTCTGACGACATGGGTTCATTTAGGCCCGTATTTATAGTCGTTTCCTCAAGAACTCCTCTAAGGATTCCTTGAGGACTCCTTAAGCACTTGACGTTAAACTGGTTTTATTGGCCTTCCTTGAGTATTCCTTCGAGAAGGAGCCCTCACACTTGGAAACAGTGTATAATTTTAGTGTTCCGTGACCAAATTTGTTGTTTTATGTCACGTGTTAATCAGAAAATGTAAAATGTCAAATTCGAAAATGATTATTTTTGACTGTGGAGTGTGGACCACACATCGAAAGATTTTAATGATCCAGTAATAATCTTCGAAGGTTGGTTCGAATTGGGCCCAACAGCATATCACTCCGATCATAGACAAAATATATCCAAGTTTCCGCAAAATGAAGAAGGGGTCGAAGAGTTTATGAATGATCATGTTGGAAAATTACAATACAAAAATGTTTACTCTATTAAAAACGGATTATTTCGAGCTGCAATGAAATAATATGCCGGGGAGAGGAAGAATGTCCATTTGATTGAATACTCCGAATGTGTGTGTGGTTGTTTATTGAAAATGTATGTATTTCAATTTCACAAACAAATCAACAAGAATATCAAGATGATACCTTCCTCCATGAAATGAAAATATGCAGTTTCCATTATTTGTAATATACACCTATTATACGAAATAAAAAAATATTTACTTTTCAACTAAACTTGAATCAGCCTCTACTGGAAATCAATATACTGGAATCAGATTCTCTGTACAAATTTCAAGCCTCGAATATTCATCTGATTACTACATTCAAATTTCATCATTCAATTCATGAAATTCATAAAATAACCTGAAATACTACTAGAAATTGAATCAAGTAATGCTCAAGGTACCTCTTCACCATCCTTGGAATTGACATTTCCTTGAGGATTCCTCAGAGCTCATATTACGACTATAAATTGGAAACTGGTCCTTAAGGATGCCTCAAGGCATCAAGGGACGAGGTCACCTCAAGAAGCGACTATAAATACGGGCCTTGATTACCCTTTCTTGGAATTCGTATAACATGAAATTGATATAAAATTTGTGACAAGTTATCCACTGATGAAATAAAAGTCGAACTGGCAACCCTAGTCCGCGCGGAGATTGAGTTCACAACAACTGTCATTTGCTGTTGTCAAATCAAGTATTCACGAAGTCCGATAGATTCCACGTGTGAATAGGACCGTGATGTGGATATGAGTGTATGAGGCCGACGACAGTTTTTCGTACTTGGTACATAAATAACTATTTAGGACTTGTAACGTAAATTACTATTCTCCTTCAATATCTAAAGATATTGATGATCTCGAACATTAAGGTGCTAGCTTCGCTCGCACGATAAAATATATCGATCAATAATTTGCCCTCATCATTATCAGATCTCATATAGAACTAATAATAGTTATTCATGCACGACCGCGCGTAAAGTAGCACTTTTCCGTGCAACTTTACGCCCGCAAAGTTGCACCTCATCACCCACTACTTTACCGTCTGGTGTATGGATAACTAGTAATCGGGATTCCTGTACAATTTAGGACATTTATGTTTCAGCTGTGATGGTAACTCATCTAATATTATTGTTCTCTTGATATTCCTGAGATGGAAAATGATATGATCGAACCCAGAATAAGTTATCTGTGATAACATTAATTGATAGCTACGAAAGCGTAGAACGGACATGAGATATTTTTTTTCTTAATTTCGAGTTTATAACTCGAAATTAGTACTGATTTCGTGTTACGACTCGAAATTAGCTTAATTTCGAGTTATAACTCGAAATTAGTGCTAATTTCGTGTGACAACTCGAAATTAGCTTAATTCCGAGTTAAAACTCGAAATTAGTGCTAATTTCGTGTTACAACTCGAAATTAGCCTAATTTCGAGTTATAACTCGAAATTAGTACTAATTTCGTCTCACAACTCGAAATTAGCTTAATTTCGAGTTATAACTCGAAATTAGTACTGATTTCGTGTTACAACTCGAAATTAGCTTAATTTCGAGTTGTAACTCGAAATTAGTACTAATTTCGTGTTACAACTCGAAATGAGCTTAATTTGACAATATCTCTGACAACATTTGCGATAACAATGGTTGACATGGTAACTTATATTCATGGCATTTTTGTGAAAATCATCCGTAGTCTCAGTTTTTGTCATAAAAGAAACATTTACTATTAACCGGTATAACTCAGAAATGAGTGAAATGAATAAGTTCGAGTGAATAACAAAAAAGTGTATAAACAACATCCCTGCGAATACAGTAGCATCACAGAGATATCGCAGCGATGTAACAATTGTGACCTGCGATATCGCATTCTTTGTCGCATAGAGGTCACTGCGATGTCAGAGGGATGTTATTTTGTCACTCTCAAGTTTCATCCATGCGACGTCGCTGCGATAAGGGCTCTGCGATATAACAGCGATATGTTTTTTGCAATGTAGTTGCGCTATGTTATTTGTGATGGAAGAGCGATGTGTTGAAAACAAGTTTCCTAAAATACCTATATGGTGTGATAATATAGGTACACTATTTCTTTCATTGTTAACTACACTGTTAGGTACTATACCGAGATTTATACAATTACTTCCTGTGAAAATTTGACTCATTGAGAGCTTGGTTTCGTACTACAACTTAAGAAGAGCTTAATTTCGAGTTGTAACACGAAATTAGTACTAATTTCGAGTTATAACTCGAAATTAAGAAAACAAAAATATCTCATGTCCGTTCTACGCTTTCGTAGATAGCAAATATAATAGTCTACTAGTAATTAAAAAAATTGACTGAGGTCTACTATGGTGTCGATTCCATCAATGATATTTCTCACTGCAGTCATGATGTATCTCTATCGTTCTCGAGAGATGAAGAGGAATCCACAATGAAAAATCGAATATACCAGTCATGCATGAAATGTTGTTTGTATTTCGGGCGTAACTTGCTTTTATGGACCTAGGCGTGATACTTATACACGCCACGGTCCGTAAAAGCTCATTTTATATTATGGTGCATAAATATCTAAATGTTCAACGTTTCAGTCGATTGTGTTCTAAACGTTGAATTCCATCAGAAATTTGGTTTGGAATATGTGAATGGCATCTTTGATCTGGACTGCTCAATTACTTCACTTCGAAATTATACTTATATATAAATACATATACGTATAATTTCGAAGTGAGCGCCAGAGAGCTTCAAGCAGAATGAAGATGGTTTTATTAACAATTTGTAACGGTCTCAGATGTTTGGCGGATTTACTCATAGAAACGGTGATGGTTCAGGAGACTATCAATTTGCTTTAAGTTCACCAAGTTCACCACGTGGTTTAGTGAATAGCCATAAACCCTTGATGGCCTCAATATAAAATGCAGGCACAGGCCAAGATGTTCCAAAGAAACATTTGGGCGCATGGCAAACCAAAAAACACCGAATTTGGGTTCGATCGACGTGGATATATGAATTCACTTGCCTGAGAAAACAAGATGATTAGCTAATTCAGGTACATGAACGTTTTCAAGTACCGCAATTTGCTAACAAATCAGAAAAAGCGGAAGAATCGCGTGGAAACAAAAATTTATTTCGGAAGGTCATTTAATGTTCTGGATGAGCGTGACTTCAACGTGAGTATATGCTTCGCGAATGCCATATGGAATTTAGTTTGATAATGATGTGCAATACACATCCGTAAATAACGATCGAGAAATGATATTCTGAAACGATTTTTTGAAAAACAGTGACAAAGTCGTTTTGAAGAGAAGTTCATCCCAAGTGTATGACTATGGCTGAATGGTTAAATGCTATTTTAAGAGTTCGTTGCTCAGCAACTGACTTAAAACTAGATAAAGTGTTAAATCAAGGGTCTGAAGTTGCTCCGAGAGATTAGGCTCGCGATTCCAGAAGAACTTATTTTTCTAATCATATTTTCCTCATCAACTTTCAGAAGATAGGGTGTAGAATTAACGTTAGTTTAGCGTCAGGACTAACTAAAGAGAATAATGAATATTTTCAGATCAATATAAATGAACATAAGTCAGTCGCAATGTATGGTCCAAAAGTGATTCTCCCGATATTCCAGAGAAGTATATCGTGGCCAGTAGCTTTCATTCTTTTCCTTATGGTTGGCAAAGATATGTCGAACGAAATGTCAGCACAGGATGGCTATTATTTGGATCAACTGAATGATGTCGCCTTCAGTAATAGGTAAATGCTAAGAATAGTGATTGTATCAACAATAAAGTGGTATAATATGAATTTATTCAACTCACAATGTATTTATGTAAGTATGTTCGTTCATGTGGAATCTTCTAATTCAATTTTGGAGTAAATTCCTTCAACCGTTTGAGCTGAAATTTCGTATACCGGGTGGCTACGGAAGTATTGCCTACGGAATATCTCAGTTATTGTATGAAGTAGGTTTGTGAAATTTGGAGCGTCGATATAATGACTTAAGAGCTAGAATTTGAGCATACTGACATGGCGGAGTTAACTTCCGGTCTGACCGGAAGTAACATCAACTTTCTTATTTTGAATGGAAACCCTATTTTTTTTTTCCTTTTCGCTTCATTTAGAATTCAATTCCCTATCTAATGACATATCACAAGTTGGTATCTAACCAGAAACTAGATCAGAAAAAAATTATTATTGAAATTCACCGAGTAGGCCGTGGAAGCAAAATGAAAGCCAAAAATTGAAAAGTTGGCTATGGAAATCATACGTCACTTGATAACAGTTGCTACTACTGTGATATTTCATTTCCATTCGTCGGCGTTATAAAAAGCCGCCAAAAAAAATATTGGAAAAATTGGGAAAAAAACAATACTCTGTAGGTCCATAACTTAAATAGGAACATACAACTTTTTCTTGCCTGTACTATTCAGCATAACCATTCCATTCTAATGATATAATAGGAAGTAATTTTTTGAAATAAAATACCAAAAAATCCAATTATTATTCTTCAAATAACAAAAAAAAAACAGAACAATAATAATTTTTTTCTGATCTAGTTTCAGGTTGAATAACAACTTGTGATATGTCATTAGAAAGGGAATTGAATGCTTAATAGAGCGAAGAGAAAAAAAAATAGGGTTTCTATTCAAAATAAGAAAGTTACGGTTACTTCCGGTCAGACCGGAAGTTAACTTCGACTTGTCAATATGCTCAAATTCTAGCTCTTATGTCATTATATCGATGCACTAAATCTCACAAACCTACTTCATACAATAACTGAGATATTCCGTAGGCAATACTTCCGTAGCCACCCGGTATACGTTTAGTTCAGGTGTGTGACGTTCTTTTCTACCTCCAGTATGGCGGACTATCCAACATGACGGGATAGTTATTTTTTTATCCAATTCTACAAAATGGGTATCAAATGAAAAGGCTTGTTGAGAGTTACTCGAAAAATGATGTGACGTCATTTCTTAATCCAATATGGCAGACCATGCAAGGTGGCGAAATAGTTACATTTAATCTACTTCTACAATATGAGTATCAAATGAAAGAGCTCGTTCTGAGCAACTCGAAAAATGATGTGATGTCTTTATGAATCCAAGATAGCAAAATAGTTATTTTTGATGCACTTCTCCAATATGAGTATCAAATGAAAGAGCATGCCTAGAATAAAATAGAAATAATGTGACATCACTCTAAATTCAATATGGCGCACTTTTGAAGTTTTTTATGCTTTCCTATAAAATGGGAGGGTTTCCTGGGAATGAAAAGGCAAGTTCGAAAAATTCGATTTTTGAGCATGTAACATCGTTTGATTAACTTTGACTTGCGTAATTTGGCGAGATAGGCGTCATACTACCTAGCCAGCGATAACTGAAAATAATTAAATCAAAACTAAAAATATTCGTAAAAAAAGCTCTCATTTCAACGCTCTGAAGAGAAGAAAATGAATTTTTCTTTCAAATTTTAACTATCAACTTATAATCTCATTATACACAATTTTTGTTATCATGAAAGCTGGTCGCCATGATCAATATTTAATCAAATTTAAATTTTCAAAATTCTAAGTTAGCAGATTTCACCTAATTGAATAAGTACTAGTTTACTTAAGCAAGTATTTTCAAAATCACGATTTAATGAAATATTGATAATCACAACAAGCTTTTATGATCATATAAATTGTGTATAATGAGGTTATGAGTTGGAATTTGAAAGGAAAATTGTATTTTCTTCTTTTTAGAGCATTGAAATGATCTTTTTCAAGTCTCTTTTACTCTCAATTCATTGTAACATGCGATACTGAAAGAGAAAGAGAGAGAAAGAGAGAGAAAGAGAGAGAAAGAGAGAGGAAGAGAGAGAAAGAGAGAGAAAGAGAGAGAAAGAGAGAGAAAGAGAGAGAAAGAGAGAAAGAGAGAGAAAGAGAGAGAAAGATAGATAAAGAGAGAGAAAGAAGAGAAAGAGATGGAAAGAGGGAGAAAGTGAGAAGGCAGTGGAAGAAAGAGAGAGAAATCACTTCATAGCGGTGGTTGTTGATTGTTTTTCAAACCTAGTCGACTGATTTCAACTAAAGCATAAGTCATTACAGTTTACCGATGTATATGAGTTTCTGAGAATAATTAAATATGAAAAAATACTTTCGTCTGTTTCAGCACCGATATTCTTCAGTGTCCATCTGAAAATGTCATAACAACAAAGTATAAATGTAACGTTAAAGGAACCTGGATAGATTGTACCCGAAGTCACTGTTGCAAAGACTATATTTTCATTTCAGGAAGGTGAGTGGTAAACTTTGTATACGAACATTTTTGGACATAGAATGAACTGAATAATAATCTCATTTTGCTATCGATGCCTGGAAAAATCAGATTATCTCATTGATATTTTCATGTGTTGTTGATAAAAATGGCTTCCATATAACGTACCTATGTGGCAAGTGAATTATTCACATACCTACACCTTCACAGGGTGGTCCTCAAATAGTTTGTATGTACATAGAAGTGTGCTGAGTTTTTGTCAACACAACATCAGGATTTGAGCTAACTTGCATTGCTGAAATATGAATAATGAAAGAGATACACGGTGTCAAAGTTGAAATCTTCAAATTTGATAATAATCATAAAAATAAATTGACTTTATTTCCTTGGAGCAGTTAGCTCATACCTAATTTTCCACTCAATCAAGCATGTTTTAGAATAACGATGTCATGTGAGTTGAGTGAGAAACTATTGTTCGTTTGTGTTTTTTATAGCTATGTTCGGGGAAAATATAAGAACCAAGCATCTCTAGCATTTTCTCCAGTTGCAAAAACTCAGTGACAGTATTTGTAGCGAACAATTTCCATGAATCAATCTAATTCTCATTATGTGTGGAAAATCTTGTGATTTCTATTTAATCACGTTTCCGCAGATGCATCCACAAGTCCCAAGATCCTTGTTCCATGAAGCTTTGCGAACAACATTGCACAATATATCTACAGCGACTGATTTGTACTTGTTTCAATGGGTTCAGGTTCAGTTCAGAGAATCAGAAATCTGGAAAGAAACCTCTTTGTGTTGGTGAGTATGATACCCATTCAACAGGATGTTCCTCAATAATTTTTCTATTGGCTAATATTTGAAAACACGAATCGTGGATCTTTATCGAGAAAACAACTTTAAATGAACAAACCTATGTCGTAAAAGTCCTGACATTTGATATGAAGGATGTCACACAAATTTTCAGGTTTTTCATCCAACTGCAGGTTGAAAAACATCTAATGTGTCCTACGTATATCACCCTGTATACAATATAAAAATTGCCTACTTGGTCGGGGTCACGTGACTTCAGCTACATGTCGAAAGTTAAACTTTTTCTTCTATAGTTCTGAATATTTTCTTACTCCTAATTATTGTATATTCGACCAAACTGTCCTAAACTTTGGTTAGATACTTACTCCTAATAACACACTCATGTCCTTAGGACGGCCTGTCGGGACATTCAGGACGTCCATAGGACGTTCGAATTTGGTACCATGGACGTACATTGGACGTCTGTGGTACGCACAAATGTCCCACTTGACGACCAACTAGGGACGTCCTTGAGGGATGTCCTTGGGACAACTATCGGATACCTAAATTCTACAGTATTCCTCATCAAGCACTACAGAGGACATTCTTAGGACATCCATAGGACAACCAATCGGCAACGCTGAGGGATATCAATCGGATGTCCATAGGATGTCCCAGGGACGTACGAATTATTATGAATTTGAATTTTTCTGGGTCCTTCTAGTACCAGATCTTGCATAACTGATAAGGACATCCAGTTGAGTTGATGGTCCGCAGAAGGTCCCCAAAAAGTTTCCCAAGGATGTTCAATGGACTCACATGAAAGACATTGACGAGGAGTACTCATAGCCTACGAGCAATCATTCGTCGGCGAGGTGTAAGTTAACGTCCTCGCAGGAACAACATATTGAAAGTACTGGGACTGGGACGTCCATAGGACGTTATTTCTAGGACATTATAAGAGTACAGTTCATGTACCAACTGGGACATCCGACGGATATCACTGAGGGATATTCGAATGATGTCCCTAAGGGACATTTCGATTGTTATATGGTCCTGGAAATATTAAGGGCGTCTGTACAGAGATATTTGAAGGAATGTACCATCAGGAACATTCCATGGTTGCCTAGAAGGGACATTGAATAAGATCTGAATCTGAATGCCAGAATATGTACTACTCGGGACATCCGATGGATGTCCCTGAGGGAACGTTTAAAATCATATCCCATCAGGCACATGCCAAGGACGTCCTTGCATGGACATTATACAATATGTACCACGTGGGACTTCTAAGTGATGCTATTTCTAGGACATTTGAAATGATGTACCAGCTGGGACATTCCGTGGACGTCCTTGCTCGGATATTGCATGAGATGTACGGGATGGGAGGTCCCAAGGGCACTTATTTTTGGTTCGGGAGTATTTGGGACATTCGGACGTGAATTGTACCAAATAGGGAGGTCCCTAGGACGTTGTGTGCTATTAGGGACATAGAGTAGCCTGATCATAATTTGAAAGGGGACTTTTGCATCATTTTAGTTCTGAAAAAATCCATTTTGCTCCTGATTGTTAGACGATGCATCAACTTTGCATCAAACAAATCATTAATCATTATTTTCTGAATCATCTTTCGAAGTTAGAAGCATGATAAAGCTACTGAAGTAAACTAGTTTTGTCGGTGTTTTGTATATTGAAAAAATGTCAAAACCTTGAAGTTGTAATAGAATGTTAAAGTTCGAGACACACATCCCAACTTGTAATAAAAACAAGTCATCTTCGTGAAGTAGCCCATATAAAAAAAGACCTTTTTGTATGGGAATACAGTTTTTCAATCACCTGCCTATATATTATGTATTTATAATATATATATTTATATAATATATAACATCCAGAAATTCAAGAAGAACACCAATTCCTACCTTATTTCCCTCCGTTCTCACGATGTTCTCCGAACATTACAGGATATCCCTATCCGTGGGAACCGGAACATAAAAAAAAATATCAATGAAGACGTCAACAAGGTCGAGAATGATTTCAAAAAATGTTTTGTTTCAACAATGTCTCCGAGTTTTCCAATGCGAACAAATGTATCTCTAACTATTTTTTTTGTTATATCTATGATCGTTGATTAATTTGACCTGTCCACTATTACCTTGTAACCACAAGGAATAATAAATTGTTATTATTATATCAGTATCACGTAAATCACAAAATCTTTTCAGATATCGACGAATGCCAAGAAGGCACTGCGGAATGCGAACAAATTTGCAAAAACGAGGCTGGAGCCTACAGGTGTGAATGCAAACCAGGCTACCAGCTGCGGAGAGACAACAAAACCTGCGAAATGTTGAACGACGCAAACCAAGCTGCTTACCTCGCGAGATGTTATGCCAGCTGCGAGTCAGCGACGAATCTGCAAAACCAGATCAAAGAGCTCCAAGAGAAGGTTGGTATTTTTTCGTCGTATATGGGTCATATGTCCGCCGACTCTAGCCAGGGTATATCCACCAAACACTCCATCCCGTTTATAGGATCATCTGACCGATGTCTCCGACGACACTTGAGCCTAGTGGCCCATTCGTATCTTACCTAGTAGTTTTTATTGTACCTTCACCATTATCGCGGAACCTTGTACAAATTTGTACAAATCCTCTCTGGATGTGAATAAAATACTTCTGGTTCGCCGACTGGTTGCCCAAAAATCATCTGTTTTTTGCGGTCCAGTGGCTCGTATCTACATAGTATATGTGATACTATTTCTGATTGATTTCGAATGTGAAAACATCTGCAAAAACGAGGCTGGAGCCTACAGGTGTGAATGTAAGCCTGGCTACCAGCTGAGGGGAGACAACAAAACCTGCGAAATGTTGAACGACGCAAACCAAGCTGCTTACCTCGCGAGGTGTTATGCCAGCTGCGAGTCAGCGACGAATCTACAAAACCAGATCAAAAAGCTCCAAGAGAAGGTTGGTAGTTTTTCGTCGAGGTGTTCAAAATCCTTTATGGATATTATATGGGTCTGTTTCCTGGGAGTCCCCTGACTAGAGTCAGGGTATATCCACCAAACACTCCACCCCGTTTTTAGGATCATCTGACCGATGTCTCCCACGACACGTGCATCTAACCTAGTAGTTTTCATTGTACCTATATACACAATTATCTCGGTACCTTGTACCCATCTGTATGAATCCTGGATGTAAATAAAATACTCCTGGTTCGCGACTTGCTGTCCAAAAGTCATATGTTTTTTGCGGTCTAGTGGCTCACATCTACATAGTATATGTGATACTATTTCTGGTTGGTTTTGAATGTGAATACGTCTGCAAAAACGAGACTGGAGCTTACAGGTGCGAATGTAAGCCTGGCTACCAGCTGAGGGGAGACAACAGAACCTGCGAGATGTTGGACAGAGAGCTGACGAAGCAAAGCAAGCTGCTTACGTATGTTATGCCAGCTGTGAATCAACAACGAATTCGCGGAACCTGATCGAAGAGCTTCCATAAAAAGTTGGTATTGTTGTTCATATGATTTTGTTGAAATTCGGCAGAATAGAGAGATATGGTAGGGTTCATTCAATCAATCCATTCGAAGTAATTCGACCTTGAACAACAACAAAATTTCACCTGCGGCGCTTTTTTAACTTTATGTCACCCACGATCGATGCACCATGAAAAACCTCCCTTTTTTGGAACACAGCTGTATACGCACCTGAAGAGTAGTCTTCAGGAACCTGCATGAAAAGAGTCTATCAGAAGAACCTCTGGAACTGTGAGTTGCAATAATAAAAGTTACCTACTGTGGTGGTGATATGAGAATCATGGGTCGTATATGGTTAAATAAATAACAGCACAATCACAAAAAATAACTTGTTAGGCTTGAAAGGTCTCTTTATGCTCTCAGTACTCAAATATGTCCACAGCAAATCTGTCATTCCAAAAGAGGGCAATTTGTCTCTTGGGTGATGCCTCGATCACAAACCCACTCACTTCTCTGAAACACCGTAGAGAAGTTGGCGAATTGGCTCTATTTTATAGAAATTTTCATGCACGATGCTCTTCTGAAATATCAACAATTGTTCATCCCTTGGTAGTCCCCGCGAGATCAACCCGTCGAGTTGAAGCTTCGCACCCCTTCCTGGTCGCTTTGGAGACCTGCAGAATATCTCTTTCCAAAGACTCGTTTTTTCAACGAACAGCGAGGCTCTGGAATACATTTCCGAGGGAGGTGTTCCCCGAGGCATAATATAACCTCCAGAAATTTAAGAAGAACACCAATTCCTACATCATTCCTCTTGGTTCTCACGATGTTCTCATTACAGGATATCCCTTTCCGTGGGAACCAGAATATTAAAAAAAAGATTAACTTTGCATATGAAACAATGGGTAGTGCAAAACAACTCCTCAATGTTGAAAAAAAAACATAACTGCAGGACAAAAGTCAGTCATTTATAATGATGTGAATCTATATAATAATCTGCCTCAAAGCCTAAACACATCAAATGAACACAAATTCATTATGAGCTTGAGAAAATATATAGTGAACAATTATGAACAATAGATAACATGCAATATACATAATATAAATCCTACACATACGCCCTATCATTCTTTAACAAAATATGAAGCTACCTGCTAGCATGCATTACTTATTTATTGTTTCATTGATAGATAGGGAGCGCATTGTGTTTATTGATTTTTTATTTTAATTTGTATAGATGTAAGTAGTTGAATAATGTAAGTAACCAATATTGTGATTGTGCTATGGAATAATTGCGAATTACAAAGAAACTATCCCTTTATATACTGCTTTACACACACGAGTATTCTCATGTGTCAATTTTTGTAACCACTATGATTGAAAAGTGATATACCGGGTGTCCCAGTATACCTGTTCCAATAGATTATCTCAGTCATTTCAAAAGATGAAAATTTGAAAAATTCATGACCTACTACAATTCTAATAACTTGAAATTATTATTGGAGTCAAAATCAAGATTACAAAAATATCGTAGTCTACTGCAATTCGTTCAATTTGAAATTTCAGTTGTCGTTTTCTCCATCAAATCAAATTGAAAATACGAAGTGTGATACATCGTTGGATCGGTAATTTTGAGTAGAAATCAAAAATTGCAAGCAATATACAGAGTGCTATTTGAAATAAAAAAGTCAGAGTCACTTCCGCTCAAACCGGAAGTGACTCTCAATGTATGTTTCTCTCAGTTGAAGCTTCCTTGAACGAATTGAAGATTATGAAATTCTCGAATTTTCATTTTTCGAAATGGCTGAGGTAAATCATTGGAACGGGTATACTGGGACACCCGGTATATATAAATAGATAAATGAATAAATAAAAATATTGGGTTTAAGATATAAGATACGATGGATTGACAGGTTTAGGTAAGTGTCATCGAAGTCTTCGGTCAGATGAGTCTTTTATTTATTTATTTAGGATTTTATGTTGCATACAGTACAAAGTACCAAAATAGCATCCACATTGTAGCTACGTGGTGAGGCAAGTTATTCATCAGTTTATATAGTTAGCAAAGGAGATTTATTAAAGTACATGATGAGAAAGAAGATAGAAACATTAACAAGTCTTGATGAACAATACAAAAGATATACATAATACGAGTAAAGATATTATATCGAGTATTATTTATATTTAGTTATAGGATTGACGATTTCGAGTGAACTGATTTTTGAGTATCATTTTGAATCTATGTAGTTGACATTGAGAAAATGTCTATGTTCAGATTATTACAATATCTGTTAAAAAGATTATGCATTCTATTCAGAGAAGAATGCTGTCCTACATTCGTCCTGCTGTACCAAATTGCAAATAAGTCCGTATTTCGGGAGGATCTGTTAGGGATTCTGAAATTGATTTTAGACAAAAGATATGGCGAGTCTATTAGGGAATTCAGTATTTCATGGAACGTACATAGGTCTGTTACAACTCTCCTATCTGATAAGCTCAGTATATTATGTTGGGATCTGATGATACGGTAGTTGTGATCTTCGATAGTTGTGTGTGTTTTGAATGCGAGAGATCGTAAAAATCTGTTTTGGACACTTTCGATTCGTTTTGTGTAAGTTGTATATTGAGTGTTCCAAATGACTGAGGCAAAAAATATTTTACTATGAACGAATGCGTAGTATAGTGAGATAAGCGCTTTGGAGTGATTAAAGTCCTTCGAGTTTCGGTTTATGAAACCAACCATTATGTTAGCAGAGTTTATCGTCCTTTCGATATGTATTTCAAACAAACATTTCTCATCAAGGGTCATTCCCAAGTCTCTTATCTCGGATACACGCTTCAGGTCCGAATTGTTAATTTGATACGTGTTTAATTTATTGAGTTTTCTAGTGAAGGATATGTTGAAAAATTTCGATGCATTCGAAAAGAGTTGTTTCTTGCGGCAGTTTTCGAGTCTGTCGATGTCCTGTTGTATTTTGAGGCAGTCATCTAAGGTTTCTATTTTGCGGTATATTTTTAAATCGTCCGCATAAAGCAGAATGTTGCAATGTTTGAAGCACATTTTTATGTTATTAATATAAATATCAAAAAATAGTGGACCGAGATGAAACCAAGTAGAGTATTTAGTAGGTACAACTGCATTTAGGGATTTCCACACTACCCTATGAGGTGACTGCTCCTTCGTGGGGTCGGGATTTCGACTACCTCCGAGGACAAAAGCGGTAGGTTTCTATCAAGAGTCGTATCTCAGTCATAAATTTCATATTCTGATTCAACATATCCTTCAGGTAATTGATGATTAATTTCCTTTTAGGTGTCTGCTTTGAGTACAGCGATTCAACTATCAAGTTTTGCTACTGGTCCCCCAGGTCCTGTTGGACCACCTGGACCACCAGGACCATTGGGACCTAGAGGGTTTCCAGGTATGTTGAAGCTATCATTTTCGCTTAAAGGATCAATGAATTTGATAAATACCTTAAATATCGAATCACCAAGTCATCAGACATATTATTCATTGGAATCAGAATCCCGTGATATGTTTCCTTGAAGTTTCATGGATAGCCATTCAGGAAAGTTTCATCTGTTCAGGAGGCGTGCGAACTTGAGTATTTTTGATATCGGAAATTCCGATGATACACAATGTGCATACATGTTTGAGTTGAAAGATCACTGTCTATGAATGTTAAAATATCCAAACGATCTGAAGAATCGGTTTATCTAATTGAAATGTGAATTTTCGATTGTTTTTGGAGTATTTCTTTGAGGATGTATTTTGGGAAATCTAGAAGAAATAATAGTTATTCATTATACAAGGGAAAAATGTAGTAGATTTTAGCTCCAGGTTGTGTTGTCTCCTGACGCGTAGCGGAGGGAGACAAAAAACCCTTAGCTGAAATCTGATATTTTTCCCGTGTATAATGCACAATTTTTCTCTGTGACAAGAGAAAGGACGAATCAATATTGATATATGAAGATATTACATTATATCAAAATCAGAAAATTATCGGCGTGAAATTTTTCAACAGTAATGACACCTACGTTGATGGCATCTTAATCAATCTTTTGTAGTTATCGAATATTCTGTGATATGATTATCAAAAATAGCGAATTAAGTCGTTGTATAGGAATTTACCTGACCGCGAAGTCAAATGGAAGATAAAAGGACTTGCAGTTCTTCCTCGGAGATGATGTTATTGGCTTATTTTTCAAAACAATATCACAACAGAAGTCATCAACAGTGTATTTAATATATGTGATACATACCCGGGACGAGAGAACTAATTTTTCTCCCATGGGAAAAGAGTAATTTATGAAAAGTAACATTTTAGAACCTGTCAACAGAGATGAAATTTCAAACTTTTTTTCGGTCACAAAAAAAAAACTTTTTGTACCTATTCTCATAGTTATGAGCCTCAAAATATTTATTTCAGAAATAGTAGATAAACAAAGGGATTGCACAGCTGCTCTCTCGTACATGCTTTCTTACCTATGAGAGTGCAGAAATTTTGAACGTACAAAATGAGTACCCCTTGCTCTCCCATACATATGTTTCCTTACCTATGGGAGTTCTGATATTTCAATATGAGTACCCCTTGCTCTCTCATACATGTTTCCTTACCTATGAGAGTACACCTTGCTCTCTCATATATGTTTCCTTACCTATGAGAGTACTCCTTGCTCTCTCATACATGTTTCCTTACCTATGAGAGTACACCTTGCTCTCTCATATATGTTCTCTTACCTATGAGAGTACCCCTTGCTCTCTCATACATGTTTCCTTACCTATGAGAGTTCGAACATACAGTATAAGTACACCTTGCTCATATTTCTGGTTGCGCCACTGCGCTCCATTGGAAAGCATTCCGAAATAAGTGCACCGAGTAGAAGTGAAAGCAGTTGCTGTGACCATTGCGAAATCATGTATTCCGATTTCACTCCATAAGAGAATGTCTGGCCTACTTGGAGGTTATGTAAATAATTCTCCTGAAAAAATTGATGATGAATGTCCGCTTATAATAAAAACTATATATGTTGAATTTTTCGAAAAATGTCTCATTTATCAAAAAGACAATGTGTCAACAACAACAACTTGTGGAAGAGTGCCGCTTTGATGAAATCGAAACACAAAGCGAACAAGTTGAGGATGGACCATCCGTAGATTTTGTGGATGAATATAGGTGCCGTCTTGATGTAATCGAATCACAAAGCGAAATCTTTCAGTTGAGTGAATTGGAAATCGATGAGGATGCTGATGTTCATCTGAGCTATCCGCATTTTGGAAATCCTTTCAGATATCCCGAAAGTCAATCACCGCTGGATAATTGTATTTTGAATAATATCTGCCAAACACAATATGCTAGTTGTAATATTTATTATCACATATTTTCGCCCAATGATGATAAACATTTCATTTTTTGTCTTCAATGTTATGACTTCCTTTCTGATGATGTTCAGAAATTGATTAAAAATTATAAAGAAGTAATGTGCAACAGAAAACATGTACATATGCCTGGACATATACATTGCTTCAAATGTCAAAGGGATTGCGTAAATTACAGACTATGTGAATTCCGAAGGGTGAATGCATTCAGGAATAACTTGGGTGTATGGACTTCTCGAAAATAAAAAAATTATAGAACGATACGTTGTTTCAATATTATGACCCCGTTCTCAATAGAGAGAGTGTGTCCATGAGAGAACGGCGAAGTAGGAACATCGAATATATAAGCGTTCAGCGATTGCAGTAGAATCATTACATTGCGAAAATCTACAAAGCAGTATAACAAGTGCCTACATAAACTAAAAGGTGAGTTTCCAACTGGTTATTATTTTCTCTTTGAATTTTTATTCTGTACTTCTCAACCAAATCTTCGTTTCAAGTATATTGAATAGTGTAATTAATTTTAGATGGATCTTACAGCTATCAACAGACAAGCATCATTGGACAGGAAGGAATCGATCAAATTAAGCGATCTACCCATCGGTGTAAAATTCCCAATTAAATCGGTGCGAGTCATCAAGACTCGTTTTGGAAAGACTGTCCTAGTGGAACTCCAGGAGAAGGTAGTCTTCCTGCCAAGCAGAATAACGGAGCTGATTGAAGGCAAAGAAGAGGAATTCGCCGGAGGCAAATATTGTCTCATATTCCGGGGCACAAAGGATGTTGGGAAAGCCAAGGACGGCAACACATTTGAAATTGTAGAATAAGTGAGTGTTTACATTGCGAATAATTTTATCTATTTTTTTTAATTGTAAGGTAAAATGTCTGAAATTGCTAAATCAAGTGATCATGTTGTCAATATATTCCGGAAAGCTTATCAACTCATATCTGAATCTTCAAATCTGGCTACAAAGAAACGATGGACTAAATTTATAGATCAAAACTTGAGAATTTTAATGAAAGCTATTCGTGTGGGTGATATGAATGTACCTGCTCAGAGAAAAGTTCAAACGAATATAGGACATCTGAAACGTTTCAGAAAATTGATAAATAACCCCATACAGAGCGGATTGAAAAGAAGTGAAAGGATTAGGTGGGAAGATATTCAGTCAGCCTTTTCCACTCGAATACGGTCGGGAATAATTATTAATTTGAAACATATCGATGTCAAAACATTTTTGGATGACTCTTTCGAATTATTCAAGAATAGAATCAAGCGATTATTGAAAACCATTCATGTTATGAAAGTCAATACTTCTTTTTGCGGAGAATTCCTCAAAAATAACTCATCTGGTGAAATTATAATAGAATTCAAATATTTTCCAACTAAAAATTTCATCATTGACTGTACAGTAGATTTGAAGCATTGGTATAATGATAGTGTAATCGATGTAATTTTGAATAAATTAGACGAATTTCAAGAGAGAGATAGTGGGTGGACTTTAAGTAAAATCGTTAGCTTAGAAGTCAATATAAATCAGGTGGAATTCGGAAACGGGGGTTCATCATATATAAAATTGCCAGTTCAGATTGATAAGAAACATGCTTGCATCAATATAAAAAATGACGATGAAGCATGTTTCGCTTGGGCAGTAGTTTCATGTTTATATCCTGCAGAATCCAATCATTCGAAAACTTCATCGTATCCCAATTACAATGATGTACTCGATTTAACTGGTATTCAGTTACCTATGAAATTGAATCAAATCAATAAATTCGAAGCTCTCAACAATTTGTCAATTAATGTCTTCATTCTTGAATTCGATCAAAAGAGAAAATTGATAACAGTTCCTCTAAGAATTACAAAAAATAAAATTTGCGATCGCCATGTTAATCTCTTGATGATTCAAGAAAATTATTTTGGTGGTGAAGATAGTAGTGAAATGGAGAATACATCTTTCTTTGATATTGATGATGAAGATTTCATTTCATTTCATTTTTGTTGGATTAAAGATTTATCCAGATTAGTTTCTAATCAATTATCAAATCATCATGGTAGAATTTTCATATGCGATAGATGTTTAAATTACTTTAGTGATTCAGATAAACTGAAAGCTCACGATATTTACTGTAGAGATATAAATAAGTGTAAAATATCATTTCCTGATGAAAAGTATATAGAGTTTCAAAATTATAGTCATAAAGAAACAGTACCTTTTGTTATGTACTGTGATTTTGAGTCATTATTGATCCCTTTCGAAGAAGAAGAGCAGCGAAAAAAGATGATAAAAACGTCTCGTTATCAAAAACACGAAGTTTTTAGTGCAGGATACTATTTGAAATGCAATTTCGATGAAACACTCACATTTTTCAAGAGTTATCGTGGGTTGGATTGTATCGATTGGTTCGTGAAGGAATTGGATGAACTGGCAGAGCTCATAGATTCAAAAATGCAAATGAATGTACCAATGATATTAGATAATGATGCAAGCAATAAGATAATATTGGAACAAAACAATTTGACTAAGAGGGAAAGAGCAACATTGTACAATAATGCTACCTTTGGTAAAAGAAAAAATGCATTAGTAGGTATATGTCACATTTGTGAAAAGCCTTTCAAGGAAGGGGATACTATTGCTCGCGACCATAATCATTATGATGGAATGTTTCGAGGTCTTAGTCATTCATCATGTATTCTTAACTACAAAACTTCCCGGATTGCACCAATTTTTTTCCATAACCTATCTGGCTATGATAGCCATTTCATTATAAAGGATATAGCAAAGGACTCTCGTGTAACTCTATTACCAATAAACAAAGAAAGATATATTAGTTTCACCAAATACACTGACACTCATATCAGATTCAGATTCGTAGATTCATTCAGATTCATGGCATTTCCATTGGAAAAATTAGCTTCTTTTCTCAATAAAAGTGAATTTGCCAATTTGAGAAAAGAATTTGCTGATGTTTGTGACGAAAAATTCAGTTTACTTTGTAAAAAAGGTATATTTTGTTATGATCATTTGGACAAGATAGAGA